AAGGGAATGGATTTTCTGCATCCAATCATTTTTCTCCAAATAAATTTATCATTAGGATAACTGTCCTTTTCATTATTTCATTATTTTTATATTAAATATAATTTTTTTTTTTAAAAAGTAACTTCCATTTACCACAGTGAAAAAAGTCATGGGTCATTTAAAAGAACCATGGATAAACTTTGTCTAAATAAAAGTTTCATTTTTTTTTTAAGGGTATTATTATTCAAAACCATTAAGCCGCCTTGTGGACCTAGAAGACTACTGTGGTAACCCGGGATGGGGGCTGGTTAGGGTTGTGTGACTTGATAGTCCTAAAGGAGGGCGTGGATCACGCGACTAGTAATTAGCTCCACACTACTTTTAAATGAAAATCTATTGGAGACTACGAACGAGGGAGACTTGCCAAATCTTATACCTATCGGGTAGCTCCTCTATACATATTGTTGATTGGTCCATTGCTTTCATTGTCATCCTTGATTTTGTAGCTTTAGCCTCCAAGTGATTTTGTTGCCACTCGTTTAATTTAATCCCACTTTTTATGTGTTTTCCAGTCTTGTAAGCAACAAATCATACGAAAGTGCAAAAAAAGAGTCGTGTAATGTCAAAAATGGTAATAAAGACATTATGAAATGCATCTTTATATTCATTCTGCAAACAACAACTTAGATGAATTGGCTCAATCAACTCTATGTTTGTTCTTTGTTGTGTAGTACCGACCCATCGATGAGTTACTAACCAATAATCTAAATGGGTATCCTTATCGAGTTTAAGAGTATAAATTAGCTCCCTCCCTAGCGATTTTGTTTTACGACATGTCGGGCTCTAAAATTATTCAAATAAAAGGAGCTTCAATTTGAAAAAAAGATGCCAAAAGATTTAAACTTTTTGTTGTCCAAATTTAAAAAAGAAATGGAAAAAAATCAGAATGAATCAACGGATAGTCTCCCCACTGGTTGAATGCCTTTTGGTTTTTGGCCAAGTCCTTTTAGAACAGCTCAAAGACGGCCATATAATATATAATTTTCATATGCAACGTGGTTTGAATTTTGTTTCCACCATTCCTACAGCTTCCCTTTCGCTGTTTTTCTCTTTCCCACAATCCACGCGTTTCCTCTCTCCAAAAATTCCACTATATTTCGTTTCAAATCGCTTCAACTTTCAAACCCAGAAAACCCCAGAAGCCCCAAATCATGGCGTTCAACTTCTGGGTCACCGCCACCGTCGATCTGCTCCTCCTCCTGATCTTCACGGTGATACCCTTTTCGATTTGTCAGCCAACTGACCAAGCTCCGCCTCCCTCCGCCGATTCTTGCAATAGTATCTTCTTGTCCTATAGTTTCAACCAAGGAACGAAGCTCCCCCCTAATGTCACTGATCGGACCCGTCAGCCGTACCGATTCGAGTCCACTCTCTTGATTCTCAATAACGGCCTTCAGGAGCTTAAGTCTTGGAAGGTTTTTGTGGGGTTTCAGCACGATGAGTTCTTGGTCTCGGCTTCCGGCGCCGTCCTTGCCGATGGGAATAGCGTTCCCGGAAACGTCGGCAATGGGACCGTCTTTGCTGGTTTTCCGATGACCGATTTGAAGACGGCGATTGAAACTGCTGGAGACTTCACTCAGATGCAGGTCCAAGTCAAATTGGTTGGGACCCAATTTGGGGTTGCCCCTCCGAATAGTCCGATGCCTACGAATATATCTCTTGCCAATGATGGATACCTCTGCCCTCGGCCAACTCTACTAGGTACTTCCCTTTCCCTCTCGTTTCTAGTGATTTATTCCTGATTTTCTGCTACTTCTGATCAGTTTCTAAGTAGTGGCACAATTTTACAATCTGGGTTTCTGCTTGTTTTTACATTAACTATGTTTTTAGATTCTAGTGGTTTATCCCAAATCTGTTTCTGATCGGTTCTTCAGCTTTGGAAAATTTTACGATCTGGGTTTCTTTGGGCTTGTTTTGCATTATGAACTTTGTATATACAAGGCTAGATTCTGGTGATTTATTCAAATTTTCCGTAGTTTCTGATCAGATTCTGAGTAGTTGCTAAATTTTATGATCTGGGTTTCTGCTTATATTTAGTTAAGTTTAGATTCTGGTGATTTATCCAAATTTTCTGCAGTTTCTGATCAGATTCTGAGTAATTGCTAGAGTTTTTCTTGGTTTTTGGAGCTATCTTTCCCCTTCGATTCTCTCAGCAATTTCTTGAGCTTGGTTTGAGTTTGAATATCAATTGCTTGAGCTTGGTTTGAGTTTGAATATTATTTTCTTGAGCTTGGTTTGAGTTTGAATATCAAGTTCTTGAGCTTGGTTTGAGTTTGAATATCAAGTTCTTGAGCTTGGTTTGAGTTTGAATATCAATTTCTTGAGCTTGGTTTGAGTTTGAATATCAATTGCTTGAGCTTGGTTTGGGCTTGAATATCAATTTCTTGAGCTTGGTTTGAGTTTGAATATCAGTATCTTGAGCTTGGTTTGAGTTGAATATCAATTTCTTGAGCTTGGTTTGAGCTTGAATATCAATTTCTTGAGCTTGGTTTGAGTTCGAATATCAATTGCTTGAGCTTGGTTTGAGTTTGAATATCAATTTCTTGAGCTTGGTTTGAGTTTGAATATCAAGTTCTTGAGCTTGGTTTGAGTTTGAATATCGATTTCATTTCTCTAAACATCAGGAAAGAGTGAGATGCACGTCTGTTGTAGACCCGATCCAAGCGTTAAAACAAACATCACAACTAGTGAAGAGTTCTTGCCTCGCCAAAATGGCGATCTAACGATCATGTATGATGTGACAAGAACCTATGATTCGAGTTATTGGGCACAAGTCAAAATTTCTAATCATAATCCTCTCGGTCGTCTTGATTATTGGAAGTTGAGCTGGGAATGGATGAAGGATGAGTTCATCTATTCAATGAAAGGTGCTTATCCTTCTGTTGTTGATTCTACTGATTGCATTTTTGGTAGACAAGGCACTTATTATAAGGATTTAGACTTTGCCAATGTATTAAGCTGTGCAAAAAAGCCAACAATTGTTGATTTGCCTCCAACTAAGGCCAACGACACTACGCTCGGGTTGATCCCGTTCTGTTGTCGAAACGGGACGATCTTGCCTTCTCATATGGACTCAAGCAAGTCGATTTCAGCGTTTCAAATGCAAGTTTTTAAAATGCCACCAGATCTCAATAGATCCCAGATTACACCACCTCAGAATTGGAAGATCAGTGGCGTTCTAAACCCGACGTATAAATGTGGTGCTCCGTTGAGGGTAAGTCCTAGCGAATTCCCAGACTCAAGTGGTTTACCATTGAATTCGACTGCAGTGGCTAGTTGGCAAGTTGTTTGTAACATAACTCACGTCAAGGACGACACACCGAAATGCTGTGTTTCGTTTTCGGCTTACTACAACGATTCTGTCGTCCCGTGTAGAACGTGTGCTTGTGGATGCCCGCATAACACTGCTCGTACATGTAATGCAACGTCCTCTGCAATGCTCCTCCCACCGGAAGCCCTTCTTGTTCCGTTCGAGAATAGGACCGCCATGGCTGTGGCTTGGGCTGGTCTTAAACACTACCCAACTCCCAATCCCATGCCTTGTCCTGATAACTGTGGTGTGAGTATCAATTGGCATTTGTATACCGATTATAGAGACGGATGGAGTGCAAGGATTACTCTCTTCAACTGGGACGAAGTGAACTTTGCAGATTGGTTTGCTGCAGTTCAGATGAAGAAAGCAGCACCTGGTTTCCAGGCAATGTACTCGTTCAACGCGACGACCTTGGAACTGGATGGTGCCAATAATACTATCTTTATGCAGGGTAATCCTGGACTAAACTATCTCGTAGGCGAAACGGACGGAGTCCACCCAGAAAGGGATCCGAGGGTACCCGGAAAACAGCAATCTGTGATATCATTTACAAAGAAGAACATACAAGTTCTTAACATGGCTGCTGGAGATGGGTTCCCCACTAAAGTGTTCTTCAATGGGGAAGAATGTCTACTTCCAAAAACATTCCCTGTTAACGACAGCCAAAGGAACTTGGCTTCGTTGATTCCGAGCATCTTAACGCTACTATTCGTGTTCGTGTTTGTTCAGCAATAGCCCGGAAAGAACGAGAAGAATCACATTATGTTGTAGCTGCTGTTCATTGTTTTATTCTTTGAAGGATTGAAGTTGAAATAGACTATTTTCAGGGACTTTATGAGGTGAATACTCCGAGAAATGATAGGTCTTATGGTCACTCAACACTAGAAGAAGCTGTGCATCATGGCTCTGCCAGTTCTTCTGGCTTGTATTTTTTTGAACTTTTGTGAATTTTGTTATTATAAATGTTTCCCCTACTTTTCATCATATATCAATTAGGACCTTTGTTTTTGATATATTTAAGATTCGAACTCGTTTGGGGCAACATTTTCGATTTGAAAGTTTCATTTCTTATGAAATATAGTGTTCAAATTATATTTATGAGAACAGATTTTGGTTCCTAAGATTGTAAGGACGGAACGGGCTTAAGGGTATGTATTATATGTTGTAAGATCCCACATCGATTGAAGAGGGAAACGAAACATTCCTTAAAAGAGTGAAAGTTTCTCCCTAATAGACGCGTCTTAAAACCGTGAAGCTACAGACGGCGATATGTAACAAGCTAAAGCAGTTAATATCTGCTAGCGATCAACTTGGACTGTTACAAATTGTATCAGTACCAGACAATATGCCAACAAGGATGCTAGACCTCCCAGAGGGGTAAATTGTGAGATTTTATAGAAGATGTTGAGCCCTCAAGGAGATAGATTGTGAATCCACGAAGGATGTTGGACCCCCAAGGAAGGTAAATTGTAAAACCTCACATCGAGAGAGATGAACAAAATATTCTTTATAAAAGTGTAGAAACCTCTCCTTAACAGACACGTTTTAAAACCGTGAAACTGATGACGATATAAAGCAGACAATATTTGCTAGCGGTGGACTTGTACTATGAGGAACATCATCTTATACAAAACGAGAGAAAATAGCTGAAAGTGAAAGACGAATATGAATGGCAATGAAAATCTCAAAATTTTACGATTACAAAAGGATAACTTAGTATCTCTAAACTGATGTCTTGAACCATATAGCCGAATATGTACATGAAAGTGAACTGCAATTGCTATGAACATAGGAAGAGTATTGTTTTTCAGTAGGTTATGGAGTCATAAGGGGTCCTTAAACCTGGCAATTGCATCAAAAATCTCAATTCCATGAGCCAAGAGCACCGACGTAGCGCCCGATTCCACAACCAGACTCGAGTTAGTCTCTCCGTGGAAGCGGTCGAAAGAATCTGCACATTACTATGCTTCAGTGCTAAATGAACTTCACAATATTACATCTAAAATGATCTGCCTGCTGATATGCAATGGCCGTTCATAATGGCTGTTCATATGCTTTCCAAGCTAGACCAACATTCTTAAACAGGAGTATTATGATGAAACCATTCCAACTCACTTTCAGCTGTTGCAATGCTTCCCTGCTGCTGTGAAACAACATATTTACAAAGTTTATTAGTAATAATTCATCTTACGAACACACCGGGGAGGGAGAGTGTAACAGCCCAAGCCCACCGCTAGTAGATATTGTCCGTTTTGGCTCACGAGTTTAAAACACGTCTGTTAAGGAGAGGTTTCCACACCCTTATAAGAAATGTTTCGTTCCCCTCTCGAACTGATGTGGGCAAAATACAATGGTACTGCAATCTAACCTGTTTAAGAAGTGCACTCATTAGGTCCTCCTCCTGACCAAAGTGTTCAGAAAAAAGGTCGGTTTGACTGCTGGTTTCCGAAGCTCGTTCCATTTTAACTCTCACCGAACCATCATCGAAAAGAGGATTGAGTTGTTGACCCATACTTTGGGCATTCCCATTGTCACTTCCTTCTTCCAACAAGAACATGGCCTTGCCTACTGTAGATGTGTGCCTGTTATGTCCATTTTGTTGGCTAGAGGCATACCCTTGATGACCAAATGCTGCGGTCGGAATGTCAAGACTACCTTGCGATGCATCGAAGGTCACGCCTACGTGTTGCAAGTCCCAATCTGACTTCTGAGGGTGCAGATCCCTAAACATATCATAGCTCGGAACGAAACCGTCAGATCCTTTAATATCCGAGACTGAGTTAACCTCGTCCGGGAATCTTCCCTTTGGGACAATACTCGACATCCCTGGTGTACTTTGAAGTGGAAAACTGTTACCAGGCAATTCTGCAGTTTGGTTCATGGGAAAATTTGACATTGTTGAGGCTGGTGAAATTAGATTGTAGCCTCCACCTCTGCTGTTAGTCGTAAATTCATTCCTAGCCAAAACCGAACCAGCAGTTCCATTCGGCAATATCGACTGCTGTATTGTTGGTGGAAGCCTTGTAACGCTCGTTGCTGTACATTCATTTAGGATCTGTGGTCGAGCTTGTGGTTGAGGTGTCTGCATCAGTTGAGAGCTAGTTTGGCCTCCTTGGGCACTAGCTTGCATTGTCATGTTTCCATGAGATTGTGCAGAGTGCTGCTGCAGATTAGCTAGCTGTTTCGGCTCCATCGTTGTCGGAATTCCATGAAGAAGATTCATCGGTTTACTACCGTTCAAATGTGCCTGTTGTCCATCACTGAATCTCAACTTCGGATTTTCGAAGCTAAAAAAGTGGTTCCTTTGGTCAACAAGAGGCATAGGCATGCCTGATTTCGCTGTAGACCGACCAAATCCCGCTGCTTGGAGCGTAGCAAGGCTCTGTGGCTGGAGTTGACCAGCAGCAGCGAGCGTTTGAAGATCAAGCCCGTTCAACGTCGAGCCAAATGCTTCTTGGGCACTCATGAACGTGTTGTTCAGATTACTCTGTTGCAGTGTCATTCCACTTACTCTTCTCAGGTACAGGCGATATTTCTATGCATTAAAACGTGCAGCATATTAAGAATCTACTCGAAACGTTTCAAGCAGAGAGAAGAAGATACACAAGAATTCATGAACATAAACGAGCTTCTCGATCGGTCCTTACCTGAAGATGGCTGGCAACGTTTTCTCTAGTGAGTCCAGGAACATTCATCAATTCGAGAATCTTCTTGGGAACAGCCTCTGTAATTATAGACCGTATTTTACGATGGTTAGAGAACGCTTAAACGCTCGAGAAATCTAAAATCATGCTAAGAGTTCACAAATCCAAAGAACTAAATGCAAGAAATGATGAGAAGAAACTCCATACTCTCGATTCCTAGTTGATTAACAGCACCCACGAACTGTTGATGAAGCTCAACGGACCAAACAACCCTCGGTTTCTTTAGGGTCGATGAGTCATCCCTCTCCTCAGCATCGTCTATGTCCTCCTTCCTCCTCTTCGAGTTCCTCCAACTTCCTTCATTAGCAGAAGATGAATAATCTGCTTCTTCATTCGCCTTTTGCTGTCGATCGACATCCTCAACACCAGATTGCTCCAAGTCCTTCCATTCATTCTTCCGCTTACGAACAACGTGCTGCCATATGTTCTTCAACGCTTCAATTCGAACAGGTTTTATTAAGTAGTCACAAGCACCATGAGTCACTCCCTTCATAACAACGTTTTTCCCGTCATCCACCGACATCACTACACAGAACTCCACTCATTAGAAACCAGTCCCTATCAAGCTATCATTCACTATTATGAACTAACAAAATGCATTCCTTACTAATCACAGGCAAGTCCATTTCAAGTCCAATGCATTCCAGAAGCTTGAATCCATCCATGTCTGGCATATGAACATCGCTCAAAACGATATCGAACCCGTTCTTGTAACGTCTGAGGACCGATAACGCATCCTCAGCTCGACTACATTTCGTTACTGAAACACAAGACAAATTCTCCATTACTAACAGACATGTTCCCTAATCCAAAAACAACTCAAAATTATAGCAAAATCATGAACATTCAAACGAACTCACGATCTCAAATCAAGAACCCTATATCCAAAATCACAAGAAACGATAGCAAAAGTGACAGAAATTTCACTCGAACGCCCAAGAAACAATCAAATCGCATACGGATACTTGAAAAACGAAGTGAATAACACAGATTCAAGAGAAACCGCTACCAAAAACAAGAAATATCCAAGCGGAATCGAAAAGGATACCTTCGTAGCGACAAATCCGAAGCATCTTCTCCAAGATCATAAGGCAGGTAGGATCATCATCAACAACAAGAACACGAAGGCCGGCCGGAAACTGTAGAGGAACAGATTCACTAGGTTTCCTTACAGAGCTCGAACTCGCCGTAGACATCGATCCCTCAAATCGATTCAGATTTACCCTTGAATACCCCAAATCTCAAACGAACGAAATCAATAAAAACGCCGAATATTGAGACAGCAGCATTTTATACTTCACTTTCGGCTTAAAAAGTGGGCAAAATCAAAAGAATCCATATGGGTTTTAGATGAAATCAGAGATAGAATAAGGAAATGAGAGTTTCAGAGAGGAATTTTATACAGAGCACTTGGAGATTAGAGCAGAACGGTTGAAGAACCCTGTTCAATTTAGGGGCTCGTTGTTCATTGGATTATCGTAATATTTTATTCAAAGTGGGTCACTCCTGAGAGAGTGGATCCAGCTCATACAGGACTAAGATTTAACTAACCCATATATCCAAATCTACTCTTAAAAACTTTCAAATTCTTTACACTATTTTTCATTTTTGTTCTTTGTACACATAAGACACAACAAAATTGCACAAAACTAGAACGATCAACTTCCTTTGATATTAGGATAAGATAGCATCTTTCACATAGTAAAGATTCTTTCTCCTCGTTCGATCGCGTGTTTGTTTAAGTTACCAGGCACTCTGTGATAGAATTAACTCTCAACGTGCTCGTTTTTATGTTCTTTTTGAGTTCGAACAGAATCTGTACTCATTAAAAGCGGTTAGATTCTTTGTTTATAGTCATTTCAATCATCCCGTTGTCTTTTCTTCTACCATATATTGCATAATTTTTTACCTGCGTTTTTCTATCTTCAACTACACTTAGCCCTCTAAGGTTAGCTCGGAGATTTCCAATACTTAGCTCTCTTGGATAGCTCGGACATGTCTTGTCATCTTAAATTTTCGTAAATATCTCTTTTAGTTACGAGATTTTGATCAAATTTACATATTCATATAAAATATGTTATTTTATTTTAATAACAAAGTTGAAAAGCATCACTATGCTTTTATATTAAATATAGATCAAGTTCCTAGGAATATGCTACATGTTTGATAAAGGAACGTTCTCTATTTCTCTCTTATTCAATTTTAATCGATAAACTCAAATATTCAATAACAAAAATGGTTACCGAAAGCGACAGTCACTCGATTTTGATAAATTAAAAAAAAATGATCAAAGTTTTAACCTTTATGATTCATCGACAAAATACCCACTTCCAGCAAAATGAAAACTATTTAGGGTTACCATCGTCTCAGGCTCTGATCAATTTCACGATGAAATCAACTCAAAAATAAAACATAAAACTAATTATCTCGAAATCTCGTAAGTTATGATAAAAAAAAAAATAGTCAAATTTCGGTAGTTGACTTTGTCGTGTAACTACCCGACGTGTTTAAAACACATATTTGAGGGTTTGAAAAGAGAAAAAGGGAGGATTCTAGCGTTGACCCAAAAGTCAATGCAAAAAATGGGCATTATTGCAAGAAAGGGCCTTTTTTGAAAGTGTCCCATAAATTGGAGAGGGGCTAATTTATAAATATATAATAAATATTGGGGGGATGTGAAAATTTTGGAGCGATAATACCAACAAAACAAAACCCAAAATTCCAATTCTACCCTTTCCTTTTCAGTCGCATGCACTGCTTTTGAAGCCTCTGCTTTTTTTTTTTTTTTTAATTAATCTCCCGTAATTCCACGTCATCTACCTTTTCACCCACTCCAGGTTTACACGTGGCATTTATCGTCTCGTGAAACACAATTAGGGCTTGTCTGGCTGGGGTGTTCTGTATTTTCTTTTTAATTATTAATTATTATTTATTTTGGATTTTAAAATAGAAAATAAGCACAAAAATAAATAAATAAATAAAAATCCCCACTTGGGTATTTGTTTATTTGTATAAATGGAGTTGAATTGCAAGAAAAGAAGTGAGCTTTTTGTAAAGTTTTTATTTATTTATGTATATATTTATTTAAATTAATTAAATATACTGAAAAAGTATATTCTTTTCTCCTTTTTTTTTGGTTGCCTTTTGTGTCCCCTCTTGAGATGAATATGTTACATGTACATGTCATTGCCTCACTGTCAAAATCAAGTCACTACAGATTGAAAAACGTAATGAGCTCGGTTGATAGCGTTGTAACTCTCGACCCTCCTTATCACTGCTAATTGAATAATAGTACGACATGTCTATTACCTAAAATACACTTTTGTTCGTATTTTTTTACTGACTTTAGTAACTTTGTTTGGGTTAAACTAGCTAACCATAGAGAATTCATCGAAATGATTTACCACCCACCAATCCATTCAGACTCTTGAACCGAGTTTCGACATGTGAGGTCCAACATCAGTTGAAGAGAGTGATACGTAACAGGTTAAAGCAGACAATATCTACAAACAATGGACTTAGGTCATTACATGACATTAATTATTACCCATGTACACTGCTAGGGCTCCCACTTGAGTCACGAGCTCAGGTTAGAGAATAAAATCTTTGACGAGGATGAGACAAGAAAGTTATCTTCATCCCGACCATTTTGTAGCCCTAATTTTTTTCTACTATGACACGTAATATTATATTTTAATTAAAAACCCACAATTCAATTTGAAAAATACATCAATTTTGATTATTAAAAAAAAAAAAATGGAAGAAGGGGAAGTTTGTGCTTTTGAGAAGAGAAAGCCACGCGCGGGCGCGAGTATTAAAGAAAGTTGGAGTGGCGTGCACAGAAGAGCTTTTGGGGCGATTCAGGTGATTAGGACAACTGTGCCACGTGGCAACTAGTTCAAGTTTAGCAAAACTCCAAACCCACTTTTTCCAGCTACTTTCCATTTATTTTTATTTTTATCCTTACTATAATATTTTTTAACTATTAGGTTAAAACTTTTCTCTCGTTACTTGTAACTATTTAGTTACCGTTAAAATTATAAAGATTTAATTATATCACTCGAATTTGTGTTAAAATGATTCGTATTGGTCCGTGGAGCATTATGATCATGTCGTAAAAAATGTAGGTAATGTCGGAACTATCAAGTGGCGAATTCGTAATATAGCACGGTTTATAAATAAATAACAGAAGAAAATATATTTAAAATTTTAATCTAAATACGAAAATAAAATTTTTAAATTTATTAAACACTAAAAAAATTAAAGATTTATAAGATATTTTTTAAGGTGGGAAGAGATAGATATAAATAAAAATATTAAAAAAAATCGAAATAAAAAAAATTAATAAATTTAGAAATTAGGAGTTATAATTTGGTGGTAGCGTGTGGGACAATGTTAAATCGGCAGGATGGGCACGTGGGAAGACGGACCACACGTACGACACGGAAGAAAAGTGGGCCAAAGTGGAACTATTTGGGCTGGGCTCCGCCGTCTTACATCAAAATTAGGCCCACTTCCAACGCACGTGCGCCCACGACGCGGTCGTGTCTGTTCATTTTTACATTTTTTTTATATTAAATTAATATATATATCAGTAGGGCTATCTAGAATCTGAATCCGTTAAAACCAAGTCGGTGCAGCTGGGTGGGCCCAAAACAATATTATTATTTATTATTTTAAAAAATGGCCTTTTCATTTATCTATTCATTTGATTAGATGAGTAAAATGACAATTTAGTACTTTTATATGCATCACAGCCGTCCATTTTGGGTGGGATGATGGAAGCAGACTTTATTATTATTATTATTAATTATTATTTTTTTAGCGTTTTTCTAATCTTAATTAAGGTTGTTCATTCGCATTAAGTGTACGATAATTCAGTTGTGTTGTTACGGAGTTTTGGGTAAGTTAGGTGTGGTGATTGGTATGTGATGCAGCTGATATGTAGGTGTAGAGCACAATGACGTACTGTTATGACTCTATGGATCAAACATTCTAGCTTATTGGATATGACCTAACTAGGTTCAGTTGCTTGAGCTACGTGATTGGTTTAGACCGTAATACACATAGGTTGATTAGATACCTAAGTTGACCTAGACTAATTAGTAGATACTGAATAGGAAGCTATTTAGAACACCTATGACAGTTCAAATACAATATAAAAAATTCAGAAGAAAGAAACAAAACCAGATCGTATAAACTAAACTAGATCTTCGGTTTCAAGATTGTGCGACTCGGTTGGAAAGACGAGCACGTGAGATTAGTAGCAAGAGAGGCATTGGAAGAGAATAATTGAAAGAGAAATTGGAAAGTGCGTGTGAAGAAAGAAAGGCATTGGGAGGGGCCCTTAGCCATAAAAATGGACAACTTCCCTTCACCAAAACACACCCATTTGCCAGCAAAATTCAACGCTTTTTTTTTTTTTTTGTCCCCTCAATTTGCATATTTCCTAGTCCTATTATTATCTTCCCATTCCTCAACCATCACCCACTAAAACAAACGAGGAAACGATGTGAATCGTATTAGTTCAAAACAGAAAAACGTCAATTTGAAACACATCATGAGAGATTTAAGTTCATGAGATTGCTCAGGATTCCAAACACGAGTTGACTTTGTGGGTTTACATACCATGCGAGCTCCACAACACAGCAAGAACGAATAGGTTCTGTTTGTTTGTTTGTTTTTTTTTTTTTTTTTTTTTCATAAAAGGACAACGGTAAGTCGTGCATGAGTTAAAAGTTGAAAAAGACAATAACGTCCCTGAAGGTCGGGTAGCAATCATGGGAAGCACCCATGTAAAAAGGGAAAAATGGGAAGAAGAGTTATGATTGGAGGGGATTGGGGGGTTGGGATGGGATGCCATGCCATGCATGCAATGTTACAAAGATCAAGAAGGGATTTGGGGAATCTTGATGAATCATAAAAATGAAAGCAAATGGTTTCTTAGTTGTAATGCGTGTGATAATTCCATGCATTACCCTTCAACTCAATTATTCATGTTTCAATATTTTTCATCATTGCATGATGCTTATCTGTCATTTTGCTATAAAATATAATACAATAATCAAAATCAAAATTTTAAATTGGTCGGCTTGTTGTTGTGGTTCGTTGACCAATCTCTGCGCCCGCGCATCGAAAAAAAAAAAAAAAGAACTGTTTTGTCGGTTAGTTTTATGGGCTGATTGGGTTTGTTTTCGGCCCATTTATGCTGTGTTTAGTGGGCTTTAGCCTCATTGGAAATAAGGCCCAGCAAGAAACAGAGATAAGAAAAATATTAAAAATCAATAAAAGGAGAATTGCTCTCGTTGAGAGTCGAACTCAAGACCTCCCGCTTACTAAACGGGTGCTCTAACCAACTGAGCTACGAGAGCTTTGCAACTCCTAAGTGAAACATTATTTATTTATTTAATTTCTGATGTACTTAATTTTATTTATTCTTGAGCTTTATTTATTCGCTATTTTTCGACCCGATCCAACTCAACCAACCCATGTATACCCTTTACCAAACAAGGTCAATTATAATTGCATTGACATCATCTAAAAAGTGTGCGTTCAAAACTGAACACTTTAAACGAGTAATATTTTTTGAATACTTCAACTAAAACAATTGGAGAGCTTTTCTTTGTCATAACTCGAGCACAGTTATAAAAAGAAGCCGAATATAAAGTTCGTTGGATACTCGAATCAGAATTATCCCCATGGTAAAAGCCAAATTCAGCCCTACACCACTTTAAACTAATGCAAGCCACCCAACAAACCTTGAAATATCCATCTCAAACTTTGATGGATTGTTGTTACATATAAGAGTTACAAACACAACAATCATGACACCATAAGTGGTGCGCTCCCATCTGTTTACATAATAATGAAAACGTAGAAAATGTATTCAACATACTCTTAAAACGGAGCACCAATTACATTTGATCACATCAACTGTTGAACACTCTGTTAATACACAGCGAGATCGTAGTTAACATACTAGATATACTTTTCACCAATATCATGGGGGCAGTGAAAGTTACAGTCCTAACCCACAATTTGAAGTAAAAAGAGCAAAAAAGGGACGGGGTGGGGCGGGGCAGGGCAGGGTGTTGTTATTGACAGCAGTTTCTCTGTTGTTGCCCACAACCACCATCAAATCCCCATCAACACTCATATCCCAACACAAGGAAGGAAGAATAGAGACTAGTACCACCATAGGGGGAGAGGATTGACGCTCCCAGAATAATAACTATATCCTAAAGCCAATCCTCATTTCAACCGTAATGTTACTATCAACATCATTCTCCCTGTACAAAACCCTTTATATGGTCAACATATAGTAATTCAGAAAATGCCATAGATCCCATATAAATTTTCACGACACTTCGAAGAAGCGAGTTTCTTTGGTAATCCCACATTTGAGCATCATGCATAACATTCTTTTCCTTATCATCTCCCGGACGAAGTATGAGATGCAAAAAATCTGTAATCGGGATGGTTCACGTTTAATGACCTGAGCCAGTTGTCGGCATCTTGCCACAATGTGTTAGCCTTTGGACATTCCTCCACACCAGTTGAATTCCAAAACGAAAATTTGAACTTGTAGGAAGCAAGTCCAAATGTTGGCAACTGTAGTTTGAGAGGCAAATTTGCAGTGTGCACCTCTCGAACTCTTGGCCAATGGAATTGCAACCCGTCGGTGCCGATGCCTGTTCCAAACACAAGCATCATGATGTCCATTTGAAAATGTTCTTACAATGTCTATCTTGTAAATGAAGTTCGTGCAAAATAGCACAAGTTAACTGCAAGTTATGAGTTGATTGTCTTACAGGCATATTGCGGCCTTAACTAACAAAATAGGTTTTTAAAACTATATTCCAAACACTCAATATATAAATTTTTTTATAGTCAAATACTACTCAATCTTCCTGCCTCAGCTGATGTTTTCCCATAATACAACCATTACAGGTGATCGAAACTACAATCATACCTAACTACACTTGACTGTAGCCATTGAAATCATTACCATAAACCAATCCACTTTGATCTTAAACTAAACAGAGCAAGAGGCACATAGAATATAAACTGGCCCAGAGAATTGATTGATGACATATATGCATAACAAAAAAAAATAAAAATAAATAAAGCGAGGAACTACCTTGAAATGCTGTAGACAGAGAATGGAAGGTCAAAAAGCAAGCATCTAGACTTTGTAGAGTTGGACCCGTGGGAATCCTATAAATTGGATACCTTCAGAGGAAAAATTACTGTGTCAGAGCAAAGTAACAGATCTGGATCATAGAGTAACATATAATCCAGAGGGGACAAGACATACCATGCCACAGATATCCAACTGGAAGGAGATAAATCACAGCTTCTATATGTTTTCAATTCAGGAAAACGAGATGCAAGGATAGTGATCTGTCAAATACGAGTTAACGTTAGTAAAAATGAAGAGTGCTCTCATGTACTACACCTAAATAAAAATACACCACCTTATCAGTTAATGGTTCACGACAAAATGGTGGATCAAGCTCCATGTATTCGAACACAAGCTGACCTTGACGGTAGCAAGAGTCACTTTCATCACTTGATGACTCGGCAGAGGGTACATTCATTTGAAGCGCTCTTCGTGACCCAGTAACACTGGAGTCCTGTATCCACTCATCCTGAAGAGCCGTACTAGTTTTTTTTCCCATCCCACAATTACTACTTCCATCACTAGTTGTTTCCTTTGAGGACTCAGCATCACTATCAGCACCACGCCTTCTACTACAAAAAACAGTACCAAATTACAAATTCACTTGCTACTCCCATATACTCAATTTTAAACAACACTTTATGTAAATATCACACACGATGATACCAATTCACGATACCCAGAAAACCCATGACCTTGCAATGGTTACCAGCTCAAAAATATAACACCACATCCATATTAATAAATCTATTATTCAGAAATGATTTAGGATAAGGCATTTTTGTAAAAGAAAATATAAATGATCAGTAAGGAAAAAGCTTAATAGAAGAAAATAAAAAAGAAAGTTGAATGAGACGGTGAAATAATTAACGGCAAAGTAGGTTGGTTAGTGTCAGACAAATGATGAACGGATATAAAGACATGCCAACTGCTATATTTTCAACCACAAATGATGGCCATCACATTCATTGTGCAAAGAAATAATTATATGAAAGATGGGAAAACAAAATCACCAACACATTCAAGCTATTATATGCATATATTGTGAAACCCAAAGTGGATTTGTTCAACACGCATCCACATAAGATGAGTGATATATAATACACATATCAATACCCAACACCCTTCAACACAATTGAAGATCCCAGGGCAATAACAAGCTTACGAACTAAATATTAAAAAGACCTGCATATTGCATCAGGATACAGAACAATAAATATAATGAAGCTAGCATTCCTAGGAATGTAATGTAATCACAAATCATAATTAGATAGGAAATGAGAATAGAAGGGGAAGTTAACAAAATACGTTGCTAGAACCGAATAAGAAATAAGAGAACATGAAGCTCAATGAATAATCCTCACCTTAAGGCAGAGGATTTTGATGGATCTATATAGAGTTGTATGCCCGACAGATATGGAACGTAGTACTGTACTACAGAGTCGCTACCATTTAACAATAGAGGGATACCCGCTCCGTATGCACTCCATTCCTTGAAAGATTCCCAGAGATCACCGAGCACAAAATAAGGAGGTGCCTCTGAGACTTCACGATTTCTCCATCCCTTTAGGCTCGTCTAAGGCCAACATCGGAGAAATTTAATGATTTGAAAATTTGAAGTAAATTCAGATTCCAAATAAAAGCAACTTAGCAAAGATCAGTATGCAACTTAACAGGACGTTGATATCATAGTCAGACAAAAAAAAAAAGGAAATTAAAAGAAGAAACTAACACTAAAGTTAAAGTGATCAAGTAGACGATGTAGAAGCACAAAAGAGAAGGGGGAGGGGCCTTAAGAATAATACTAAAGAAATCCATTGAAGAAAAACAAAGAAGATAAAACGCAAAACGAAAAGGAAGATTCCAACATCCTCGTCAAGATAAATCAACTAAACCATAAGATCTTCCTGAACCTAATAATTACAAGAACCATAATCACAGAAGTTCATACGCGAAGACTAACCAACATCAATTTCCATCATAATAAGGCACTTCCAAGTCCACCAAAAAAAATGAAACAATTGACCTAAAAAACAAACCACCAACATCAAGTAAAAAAAAAAAACACTCGCTTGACCAATCATTACCTTAGAAAAACATTGAGCCGGAACAACGGGAGTAGTGTACTCCAAGAACCGATCCAAATTAGTAGAATCAGCAACTCCACGATCAGAAACAGAGCAATCCGAGCGAGTAGACCAAGAACGACACTCATCAACCTCACTCTTCTCCAACTCATCGATCCTCGCAGTAGTAGCAGCAGCAACCTCCTTCAAATCCAAGGCAGTTTGCTTCTGCTGCTGCTGCTGCTGCTGCTGCTGCTGCTGCTGCTGCTGTTGCTGTTGCTGCTGCTGCTGCTGCTGCAAACGACGCCGCATCGCAGGTGGATGATAGAACCGATTCTCCCCACGGATTCGGGCAATCGAAACACCACCGGAGACTGACATTGCAGAAAACCACACAGAGAATCAAACAAACACCAAAACCGTGGCAGCGTACACAAAAGGAAGACCAGGTTTCCTTGGATATATACAGTGATAAAGACGATGAAGAAACTAGGGTTTTGCAAAATCTAGCGAGGGAAGATAGCTAAGAGAAACCCTTGAGCCCCATTTGTCGAAATTAGAGAGAGAAGGAAGGGAGAGGATTGGATTAGAGAGGGAGATTTTAGGAGCAGACGCGTCCAGAATCATAATTTTGAACCACTTTTTATTCATCTTCCTCACCTATCTCCGTATCCCTTGCGTAATGGCTGTGGGGTATCTGCCTCTCAAATTACCATTTTCTCCTTCCATCTTTCCTTTAATTGACGGATTTGTCCTTCCCAGTTTGACCTGCCCGGAATCTTCCTGCCCAGTCATTTTGGGCTTTATTGGCTTTAATGGGCTTTAATGGGCCGCGTTTCCGACCCAATCAATGCCTCAAATATGGGCTTTTATGAACCCAATTAATACCTACTAAACTTCAAGGACAAAAATGTCTTTTGCCCTATTTGATTTGATGTCAAATCCATATATTATACAAGTTAATTAATGATTCAATAGGATTATAGTTGATTTATTGTTGTAATTATTGATAATCAATGTGAGTTCGTTAATTATACATCGTGTTAGGACATATTTCATAAACCAGTTAACAATTAGTGCATGGGTAGTGTCAGATTATACTTGCCCAGAACGTGTTGCCCATAGCTACATGCCCTGACACGTCAAACCCTTTTTACTAGCTATTTTTTATTGCAAATCATGTCTACTCCTGTTAGACCTGAATCGTCTCAAAATGTACTACAGGGAACCAAGTAGTCATCGAACTTGCCCCGATCAAGTATTGTAATCGCTTTTGCCTACATGTTTTCAATGCAATTAACTTTCACAATACTTACTTTCAACAATTTTTCACGCCCACGTTTTCTAGTATATTTTCTCTAAAAACATGGCTCGAGACTCGACCATACGTCCGACCAAACTACTGACTTGCTCATTGATAATTGTTGTCTTAATGTCAAAAAGAGTGCAATTGTGATAGATGACATGTGACAGTGGTGCAGCAAAGAGGACGGTCGTGTAGATGGAAAAAATTTCTAGTATCGTTGCAAACATATTGATAGTCTGAATGGCTCGTATAGCCCTATATTCATGGTTTGTCATGTCAGTATCATTTTAAAAACGAGCTACAACCATGTCCGTGGATTAGGCCGCATCTTTGAATGAACTCAGCTGGAGTCCGTAAAACCCTCGTCATTGGTTTCCTGGTTGATAATATTCTTTCCAAAATGGTCGGTCTTGGATTCCTTGCATGTCCCACACCCTTTTGTTTTCCCCCCTTTTAAATATTCCCATCCCCTCTTCTTCTTTGCTGCTCTCAATAATCCCTCTCTTTGTGTTCTTTCCCCTTTCCTCTCCCACATGATTCCCGAGCTCGAGGTATTCTTCATGTTCGTGTTCGTGTTCGTGTTCTTGTTCTTGTTCTTGTTCTTCTTATGAACTATCATCATTTCATTCATTTTTGTTCTTCTGCAGAAACCGAAGATTCTTGAGATAAAGGTCCGAATGGACTGTAATGGGTGTGTTCAGAAGATCAAGAAGGCGTTGTATGGAATCAATGGTGAGCTAAATGAACCGGGATTCTTTATGTTTTTTGTTTTTCAAATGTTTGTGTCTTCTCTTCATCGATTTCTTGGCCTGTTACAGGCATTTACGATATCTACATAGACTTCCCCCAACAGAAGTTGACAATCGTTGGATGGGCTGATCCAGACAGAATCATGAAAGCCATTAAGAAAACTAGGAAGATAGCTACCATTTGTTCCGAGTCTGAACAGGCAGATCCACTAGCTTCTACTCAACTCCCTGATAATCCACTGCCTTCTGGTGGCGAAGCAGAAGCTCCTCCTCCGTCGCATGACGTGGCGATGGTCGATGGGCTACCTGGACATTCACATGTTGAGATAGCACCTGGCCAGACGACCGTCCACGAAGCTCATTCGGGCCAACAGTTTGATTTGACCAATGCTACCGTACAAGCAACACAGCCTCTTGGATCACATGAGGTCGGACAGGTTCATGTTACTCATAACCAGCCATCGGAACACGGCCATGTCGTCCACCAGAGTTCCTTGGAACCCGGTGTTGTCCACCACCTAGGACCAGAGCCTGGCCAGGTTGTCTCGCATCAACCTGAGAATAGCCACGTGGTTCATCAACTACCAGAACATGGTCATGTAGGCCATCAACAGTCACCCATGAACGGGTACGTGGTTCACCAACATCAACCTGAGCATAGCCATGTAGTAAGCCATCATCAACCACCTGATCACGGCCACGTTATCAACCAACAGCCACCCGAGCATAGCCACGGCCACGTAATCCACCACCACCCAACTGAACACACCCATGGCCATGTAATCCAACACCACCAATCCGAACAAGGCCATGGACGCACCTCAAGCCACAACTACCACCACAATATCCCAAGAACAATTCACGGGTCGACATCGACGCATCCAATGACAGTGATACACAGCTACAACACATACCAACCATCACCCTACGTAACAGAGTACATCCGACCATTGACAACCCACAAACCCTCCCCATACGCCTACGAATACATACCACAGCAGTCATCCTCCAACCATTATAGCCCGAGAATGGACCGTTACAACGACGACTATAACAACACAGGCATAAGCAGCAACAACAACGGGAACATCACATCAATATTCAGCGACGAGAATCCAAACGCTTGTAATCTAATGTAAAGTAAATTGAAGGGGAAGTGATTTAATGAAGGACGAGTTTTTGATGAACACGCAAGAGAAGAACACGAACAAGATTCCAAACGTGGGAGTGGTGGGAGAATCTGATCCTAAAATTCTATCTTTTTGATGATGGGTTGATATGATAAACCAGGTAAAGAACATTCTTGTAAAGGCGACGTAGGGAATCTTGTAAAGTTGTAAAGATTTTTATGGCTTCAATGGCTGACAGATGTTTACAGAAACAATGATTTTTATAGCTTTTAATATTTACCGATATATAACACCCAACCCGAGAGAATGAATCTCACAATCCACCCCTCTTCGGGACCAACGTCCTAGCTGGAACACCGCTCGATGTCTGATTCTAATACAATTTGTAATAGCCCAAATCCACTCCGTGCAGATATTATCTTTTTTGAGCTAAAACACGTTTGTTAGGGAGAGGTTTCCACATCTTTATGAACAATGTTTCGTTCCTCTCTCCAACTGATGAGGGATCTCGATCCCTCCCCTTGGGAGCCCAGCGTCCTCGCCGGCACACTTTTTGGTGTCTGGCCCTGATACTATTTGTAATAGCCCAAATCCACCGCTAGCAGATATTATCTATTTTGGGCTAACCCTTTCAAGTTTCCCTTGAAAGTTTTTAAAACGCGTTTGTTAGGGAGAGGTTTCTACACCTTTATGAGCAATGTTTTGTTCCCCTCTCCAACCGATGAGGGATCTCACGATCCACCCCTTGGGAGCCCAGCGTCCTCGCTGGCACACTGTTTGGTGTCTGGAAGTCCACCACTAGTAGATATTATCGGTTTTTAAAACGCGTTTGTTAGGAAAAGGCTTCCACACCCTAATAAGCAATGTTTTGTTCCAATCTCCAACCGACGTGGGATCTCAAAGTTTATTCATACGACCACGTTACACCAATAAAAAACATAAAAAGGACAAGATGAGATCTAGTCAATTACACAGCAGCAGCATGTGACAGATTCCAATACTAAATTTAGAACAAGCAATGGTAAAACACAATCGACCATGTGAATAATGTCTGAAAAATTCAAAATATTTTAATCCAGGGAAGAACATCTGAAGAACAATGAAAGACAGTGTACATTCAAACATCAGTAAGAGACAAACCAATAAGAAATCGACATGTGGAAAATGTCATGACAAAAAAACACCGAGCTTAATTCACTTAACAAGCAGCAAAGTGTCACCAAGATCCCTTTATTCCAATCACTTGGCTTCACATGAATTGCTTTTCACATCAACAAGAGTTTTATCCTTTCAGCTCTTCACAACAAATGAACAATTTACAGTGAACTTACAAAGCACCAAGCTCTTGAGGGGGGGGAGAGGGTGAAGGGAATAATTTTAAAAGAAAACGCAACACAAACGAAACCGAAAGACCTGTAAAAATCACTACCAAAAATTTCCTTACACGTGAATGAAGAAATCGAACTGTACAAATAAATCTGCAGACCGAAACATGAACGAACGAACGAACGCAATTCTAAGAGAATGAAGAAAACAAGTAATCTAGACATGTGGTTTTTATTTGAAAGAATCTTGCTTGACTTGGAGAAGACAAGGGTTGAAAATATATATATTGTTGTACCTTGGATGGCAAAGGCTTCATAAAACAGCAGCTTTTCCAGCTGAATTCGCTGCTAATGAAGAAATTGAATATCGAGTATCGAGGTCAGAACAGGGCGCCGGGATAACGGATTCCGAGTACCCAGAAACATCTGAACAGATCCAAGAAGTGGAAGAAGATGAATTCATTGAAAAGGTAATGTTGGATAAATAGATTGAAGTGAAGGGAGATTCCTGTAGCCCAGTGAAGTTTCCAGCAATTTTAATGTTTGTGCCTCGAACATTCTGCAACGTTATGTCCTGCACGATTGGAAGTGCGTTAGGATCGAACTCGTCGTCTGGATGTGACCCGAAATGACCCGAGGCACTGAATCCCGTGGATATGTTTTCCATTTCAACGTCTGATATAACTATTCCTTTAATGTAACCTCCTCTTCCCTTGGTAGTTCTGAATTCAATGCCAGTAGACGAGTTGTACAAGTGCACGTGCTCGACAAGAACATTAGATATCCCACCAGACATCTCGCTACCAAAGGCAATGGACGAACCTGAAGACGACTGAAGGTGGACGTTTCTGATGTGTATGTTTTTAGATGGTCTACCATAGGCTATACCATACTGATCCCAGCCGCTCTTCAAGACGATGGCGTCATATCCCGTGGCAATGTTGCAGCCCTCTATGCATACATGATCAGAAGAATCTGAAAGCACCAATCAAATTTTATTTAGAAAAGGCGTCGTCGCCTTATTAATTACAAGCAAAAATGAATGAATCGCATCGTACTTCTAGATTTTAAGTCCGGGTTTGATCATCATTCTAATAAATCATTCTAATCATGATGCTGTCTAACGAGTCATCTTTTCCAGACTCAAACCCGAATCATAAGAACTTGTTTTCCTTAAACGAGCTAACGACATTCAGCAAACTGCCCTTGATATCTTTCTCGATGGCATCTTCTACTAAGCACTACGTGGTGTGTGTGCGTGAGAGACAGAGAGAGAGCGAGAGATCGATTAAAGGAGATATTCTTCAATGGTGCTCGAGCCATTCGGCCAGAGGAGCCCACACTAATAGTCGAACAAATGACAATGAGGAAGCTGAGAAAGCATTTCAAACCTGGGACTATTCCAACAGTGTAGGGAGATTCAGAAGGTGCAGAGACAGAGATGTTGAAAACATAGACATTACTGCACATGAAACACTTATGTTTCAATACAGATTCGCTCACAAATACGAACAACGTGAACCGAACAAACAAAGGCAGAAGAAACTGAATTCTAGTAGCTACGTTACGACATACCTGCAGTAAACTGGATGGATATTATAAGCAGGAGTATTCAAGAAACTAAGGTTCGAAACGACTACATATTCCGAATCCTCAAATTCCACGAGGTGAGGACGGCTATAGTTTAAGGAATGAGAAGTGAACCAATCCCACCAAACCAAACCCTGACCATCAATGACACCATCATCACCTAGCACATCGAAAATCAAGACAATAACACATGTTCATACGAGTGAATCGCATACGCACAAACTAGATTCTAAATCAAGCGTGTCGAACAAATAACAAACCTGTTATTACAACATCGTGTAAATTGTAACCATTTATCAAGCTCCGGTATCGTTTCCCTGGAACTTCAACACCTCTACCATACGAAGGTAACGGATTGACAAGTTCCCAATGGGACGGGTCCTGTGTTTAAGATACGATCGATAATCACAAAACAAATGCCTAAAATCAAACACTATGTTCATCCAAGAATAAGAACATACCTGAGAGGCAAGAATGGTAGCACCTTTTTCCAGAAAAAGGGTAAGGTGGCTAGTGAGATTAATGCTTCCAGTGAGCCATTTTCCCGGTGGAACATAAAGCTGAGCTCCACCCTTATCAGCGAAGGATTTGAGATAGAAAATGGCGTTTTGGAAGGCAATGGTGTTGAGAGTTTTGCCATCACCAACAGCCCCAAACTCCAAGATAGACACACTGTGTGGCCTTGGATCTAATATGGGCTTAGAATTGCACTGTCCGGAGAGCTCATCACCAATAATCTTCGCAGCATTGCTCAATTGTAGCAACAGCAGCAATGCCACCTAAAGAATGAAACAAAAGAAGCTTAAAAAGACAACAATGGTGGAAACCCAGATAACAAATCGCCCAAAATCGCAAGAAAAGAACTAATCCGACAAGATGAAGAACAGATCAAAGAGGAATTCAGAAGAACATCAAATCTGGAAATCAAAACCTGCGAGAAAATCAACATCATCAAGGAAAGGGATACAAATCAGGAAAAGTCAAAAAGGGTTTCTGGACCATCTGTAAAGAACACAGACATGAAACAGATGGTGAAAGACATTGAAAAACAAGGGTAAGAACAAAAGGGGTTCTTCAGAAATCGACATAAAATGATTCGTAAAACAAAAAAACAAAGAAAACCCAGATAAAAGAAACGTACTTACTAGCATCCTCATTGGTCAAAGCCAGGAACGACAATGACCAAAATGAAGAGAAATCGAGATGAAGAAGGGGCAAACCAGCAGCAAACACGGCGAGGCAAAGGGGAGCTGAAACCGGAAGAACATAAACAAACGGAGGAATCGAAAGGGAAAGTGAGGCAAATGATATAAATGCACAACCAAAATCAAGAACTTACATAAGGAAATTGTAGGGAAAGGAAGGAAACGAGGGCAATATACGCTGTAAAAACGACAGCCGAGAGAGAGAGAGAGAGAGAGAAACAACCAAATCCACCCCAAAACTAAAAAGAAGGAAAAGAAGGAAACGGGTGAAGAAAATCTGCCTTGTTCTTGCTTGGGAGAATAAAATCAAAAACAAAAGAAAGGGGAAATTTTGATTAGCAACAACATTAATTGCCACTAATTGACAATTACCCTGTTTGTGAATATGATTAATAACGTCTATCGCCGACAAAATTGTTTGAAACGGCCCTCCATCACAGCAAAAGGGTTTTGCCCTATGCCTATGTCTTCCTTCTCCTGGACTTAAAATTTGGGCGTTTCGCCTCCAATGCCCAAAACAGAGAGAATTTGATGACGTTTGTTGAATCCACAAGGGCTAAAAAAAACCAAATAACCCAACAAACCAACCCTATTTTTTCATTGTCTTATCCCAATGGAACAACTCCCAACAATCACATAATTCACGTCTAAAATAGAGAACACTTAACTACAATACCATCCCAGTAATTAGTCGATGCATGTTCAAAATTTTTCAATACAATCCCACACGAAGGAGCGTCAATTTATGATCAAAATTATCGACTCGAACAGTAAAACGGGACGAGTGGTAATAGGAAGTGCGTGAGAGAGGGTGCATGGGATGGGAGCAATGAAAGGGCATGTGGGTTGACAGAAGGAGAGGAGAAATGGGACCCATGACCAATGATAGCGGGGATGCCAGCCTGGCATCAATCAGTTGACAGAACAACATCACCCAACAAACAAACATACAAAACACAAAACACACTAACGAACACATCTTCTTCCTCCTCCTTAAATTACTGTGTTTTTTTCTTATTTTATTTATTTTTTACCATAATTATTCCGAGTAAGAGAATGCTACCATATCCGAACCAGAGCAATCCTAAAAATAAAATGACTTAAAAAAATGTTTAGAACACTTAAAAGTCACTATCTATACTAACAAGATGCACTGTCTTTTTTTTTTTGTTGTTGTTATCAATTCTACATTGGCTGACTTTTTGAAAATTTTTCTATAATATATGTGAATAAAGACAAAATATATCCTAAATATTCGGGTTGGTCTGTAAAAATAGTTTTCACTCTTAGAAGTTAGAAGTAAGTAACATAGCTATGAGATGCCGGGGAATATCGTGCTAATCATATGCCGAGCTTGAATTCAGAATCCTGGGTATGGGTCGTTACAAGAAAAAATACCATTTTTTTTTATGAATATTTAAAAACGACTACCAACATTAAATAAAAAATCATCATGGTAAAACCTAGCTTGTTCGAACTTAATTCAAACAAGCGTTTTAATCATCACTGTATATCGGTATTTTGTCTAATATTCTAATAAAAATAATTATATTTTGAAATAGTATCGTATCAGTAGCGTTTAATTTTAAATTAAAATTATAATAAGGCATAATCTTCATAATTACATCAAAATATATGTATATTTGCATTAATCAACGATGCTTTGACAAAATGATTGATATATATATGTAATATTGTGACCAACTCATTGATTGTATCATCCTTTTCATTATTTTGTTTTATATGTTCAATAAAAGGAACATGAAATAATTCAATTTTCGGATAAAAAAAAAAACAAAAATAAATTGGTATACGTTATAATTGTTTGATAAAATTCCAACTCGATAAATTATATTATATAATTTTTTAAACCACTTTATCGCAAAATTATTAAATGAAACCGTCACAACATTCATAATTATAAATTCAAAATACTTCTTGTGAGATCCGACGTCAGTTTAAAAAGGGAAACAAAACATTTCTTATAAGGTGTGGAAACCTCTCATATGTTTTTAAACCGTGAGGCTGACGATAATATGTAACAGACCAAAAAGATAATATCTGAATTGATACCGTAAAAAAAAAAAAAATCTTATAATTTGGAATAAAAATACTCTTAAAATTTTTTTTAAGGGTTTTAAAAATTTTATTATTATCTTTAAAAAAGAATTTAAACATTTCAAAAAAACACCTATAAATTTTTTAAATTGATAACCTTTTTTAATAAAAGTGTTAATATTATTTTTAAAATTAGAAAGATTAATTTAACTTTAAAAAAATTGGCAGTGGAGGGTGGCTGATGAGTCAGACCAGTCAGACACGTCAGCACATGTACAGTCATATAATGTTTTTTTTTTTTTGTTTTTTTTTTTTTCTTGGATGCGCTTACCGTTAATTTGTAATAATAATTATTATTTTTGACTAAATATATTAATTGGTATTAAATGTTTATAATATTTCAAAAAATTTAAAAAAGTTGAGACCGTCGATATTAGCATTGGAGTTTATTTTAGATTTCAAACAACTTAATCCATAAATAGAAAGGGAACAAAATATTGGTTTTATTCATGCCTTGCCTTTTGTGTAAAATAAATCAAAATTTTCAAATATTTATTTTATTTTCTTATTTTAGTCGTAATTATATTGATATATTAACAACGTTATTAGGTGACAAATTTTAAAGTTCGGGGACTTGATTTTCTGTCTCTACCGCTCAGCTCTCTCTCTCGCTCGTTATTTCAAATTCCATTAATTTTTTATTTTATTTTATTTAGTCATCTTATTAATTTTTTTTTTTTAAATGATCTTTCACCTACTCAAAATCTTTTGCTATATCGATCATTTTATGCATGTGAGTACGAGAAAAAAATATTGTAACGAAATTAAATTATCAAAATCTAAATTAATTAAATGAAAATTAAATTGGCAAAATGAAATCATCCCCCACAATTAATTAATTTGAGTTTTCTTTTACAAAACAAGGAATACATGATAATGGAAAGGACACCCTTTATCCATACCCTCTTCTTGTTTGTATATATATATATAGTGTGAATTTAATTTATTAAAAAAATAATCTATCACGTGGTTCTAGTCATTTTACAATTTAAAACATATCTATTTTCGAGAACTATTTTCGAGAAATTTTAAAACTTTCACTCTGAACAGCAAACTCTCGTACAAACCATAGATTATAGAGAAATTTTCTAAAATCATGAGTCGGCTAAAACATATTTTGAATTACATACCTTTTTGTGTATTTTCGAGATATTTTAAAATTTTAAAATTTTCCCAGTGAACAGTAAACCATCTTTTAACCGTTATTCTCTCACTCTCTGCTTAGGATGAACCAAATTCGAGAGGAGCTAAAAAAAAGAGATATAGATCTGATTTGACAAATCAAATAAAAATAGAAGCGATTGATTTATGTATGAATATTGAAGTTAAAAGGCTAAGAATCATAAATGTGGAAAAAAATATATATGGGAAAATAAATAAATAAATAAAACAGTAAACCATCTTTTAACCGTTATTCTCTCACTCTCTGCTTAGGATGAACCAAATTCGAGAGGAACTAAAAAAAAAGAGATATAGATTTGATTTGACAAATCAAATAAAAATAGAAGCGACTGATTTATGTATGAATATTGAAGTTAAAAGGCTAAGAATCATGAATGTGGAAATAAATATATATGGGAAAATAAATAAATAAATAAAACTATAAATAGGGTGTGTGGTGGGGAATTGGAAGGCTGAATTTGAATGGACAAATGAAGCCAAAGCTCATTCAAAGAGAGACAGTTCCCACTCTTGGGAGTTGCCTCAATCCGCGACATGCCCACATGATACCCGAGTCTAGAATAGTTATGAGAATTATCTCTTATGTCAATTTTTGTGGAGATTGAAGAGAGACGAGATATGAACGGGAACTGCCTCCCATGTTAATTCCTATGTCAATTCCTATACTCTAAGAAATTTATTTATTTTTGTGGGGACTAAGGGAAGACAGAACATGAACGAGAACTTCTTCATATGTCCATTATTATTTCAAAGAAATTTTTAATCGATAATTTTCAGGATAAAATATGTAAATGTAAGTTCATATTTTTTAATATTGAAAATTTGAACACAACAAAATTTCAAAACAAACCCAAATACCAAAAAAAGGAAGAAAAGTTCTCACCCACTTCAATAAGATTTGGAACTAATCATAAAACATTTTAAGAACAGGCCAAAAGTTAATCAAAAGACAGCGGGGAAGAATTTGCTGTAACTTGAAAAACTCTAAAACAGTGTGGAAGTATGAATTTAGTTGCTCAAAGAAGAAGAAACGAGTTCTAATCAATGGGATTTGCTATCATTTGAATAAACAAAAGCTGATTGTTTCTGTAAATGAAAGCTTTCTGATCTAACCTCAAACAATGGGTACTCAAACTGCCCCCTACCTTGTTCATACTTCAGCGAATTCCCAGACCGAAAACACCGAAAATTCTGCGGTTTCGGGTGGATTCGGGTTCGAAAATGAGGGTATCCTTGACTTACATAATCAGAAGGGTTGAAGATTGGGGATTCTTTGTGGTTTATGTGATGGAATCTGCTGGTGTTCTTCAGCAAACAATTCTCAATCACATTTGATTCTTCTCTCAATCTCTCCTTAATGTTCTTGACGACTCCATGTTTGTTGTTCTTGTTAAAGCTTCCCAATACATTCAAGGCAGTCAAGTTTGTATAAGGAATTGTGTTGCAATCAGGGCAGAAATTCTTCATTCTATCCAAATCAAATGCCGTTCTCTTCACATTATCACTCAAACAAGCATATCCCTACAGATACCCATTCAAATTCCTCAACCTCTAAATTGATATTGCATTAAAGTTCATCAAGATCACGAGTAGTTCGTGATTAAAGAAATTAAATGCAAAACAAACAAACGAACAGTGATCCAAAATCCATCACAAAAGAAAAAAAAAAAAAAAAGCAAAATCACAAAGAACATTTCAGAAAATGAATCGAATCGAACCTGAGAGACAAGCTTGAAGGCAAATTCCGCTTTGGGGTGAGGGTTTTTGTCTGGATGAAGTTGGAGAGCTGCAAATCCAAAGCACATTCTCATGAACAAAAACGAAACAATCCAAAAACTAAACAGAATCGCAATGGAAAGAGAAAGAAAAGGGAAATCCCACCAAGCTTAAGATATCTCCTACGAATGGAATCGATTCCAGCATCTTCTTCGACCTATCAAAATCGATTAAAGAACAAAGAAACAAACAAAAATCCATGAAATCAGAAGAACAGGGGAACCATACCCCAAGAAGGCGATACCAATCGAAGAAAGGGCGGCTAAAATGGCGATGAGCGCAAGAGACAGTACGAGCGGAGAAGGAGAAGATTTCAGAGGCCAAATGGGATTTGAAATCGAAACCGGAATCGGAAGCCATTAAGAATGGCGATGGCTGGGGAAACGGGAGGAGGTTGAAGAAGAAGACGAAGAAGAAGATGGAGCGGGGAAACGGGAGGAGGCAGAGTGAATAATTTG